ATGCATAAATAAACGCGAAATATAAAAAAATTCAATGCATTCAATACAAACACTTAAACGTTTTTTAGACGTTTAGGTAGCTCCCAGTAGAAAAATATCAATTCAACAGCGGCCTTTTAAAGCATTCTCACTTCAATTAATTAATTAATTCCTAATTGAGTTTAAATTAAATATTGTCATGTTTTTAGTGCATGAATCTGAATTGAACAACCTGATAATGCTCACTCTGGTTATTGTTATCTGGCTGCTCACTACGTGCTCTTGCGCGCCGAATCCAATCAATTAAAAATGAAAACTGTTGCCGGCGCGAAAAAAGAAATATCATCGGTTTTATTGATACATACATACATACGTACGTATTAGCGTTTTATATAATATAGATAGATATTCGTAAACGAACTCATTTAAAAATATTTTAGATTTTAAAGCCTACTACGATTTGTGTTTGAATATTCTGAGAATTTTTAAGCAAAACATTTGACATTTTGGGGTGAAAAATATTCCTGGTTAAAAATAATGAAATATAAAGTATTTAAGCCATTTATTAGGTAGTTTTCCATCATACGGTTTACCGATAATTCTGGTTTTCCAAATTATAGTTCTTATCGCCAAACATTTCGTAAAAACTAAAAAACCGAAAAGCAAACTTAACCGAATGAATGATTTTCATGCCATAATCTAAGATACCATGATAAAATAACCAAATTTTACCATATTTACCAAATTTTATCTCTCATTATAAAACCATTGTTAATTTTAACTAAGTCATTACCAAAGCTCTTCGGTAAAAATTACAGATTTTATAGTATTCCTATAGAATCAGAATTACGGATAATTTTATCACACTCTGGTAGTTTTGACCATGTTTTTTTCTCAGTGTACCAATATGTAAAAATGTCTAACAAAGTCTTGTAATTTACAAACACCATTTTTTATCACTTTTCAGGAATTATTATGGCATTAGGAAGCACAGTAGCTAGTTTATCTGGTTTCATAATGCCTATTCTCATTGGGCATTTAACGAAAGAAGAAGTATGAGCTTTTTTATGATATTTAATTATTTTTGGAGAATTTTGTGAATGTTTCTAATTATTATGAGCAAAATAATATTGTAATTCCTCATTAATGCCATCTCTTTTTAACTTTAATTTGTATTTACACTCCATGACAAATTTATTCGCTAAATATAATCTGCCATTTAAACTTTACCGTTTTACTTATAAGAGAAAATTTCGTCAGATCTATAAAATAACAACTTTGTCACAAACATTTTCTTTAATTTGATTACTGAACGAACAAAAATTTTGTAGTGAATTATTTTATTACTATTTTTGAAGCCCAGAAAAGATATCTTTCTAATAGGAAACTTAATACTTAGCATTTCAAATGCTAAAATTTTTCTTTTAGAATCATAATGCCTTTATTTTTTTAAATATGAAACACTAATACAATAAATAAATTGGAAATGTATTGATATTTAAAAAAAGAGCAAGTAGAAAACATAAGTCCTATCAACTATTTCTGCAAAATCTTCCAATCTTTAAAAAGTAATACTTACAACTTTAAAAAATATCTTTTTGTGAATAAAATTGTTAATATTAATAATATACGTACAACAAAAAGGGAACTTAAAATTTAATACTGTATAAATTAAATTGATAGAACTACCAAAGCTGCGTAATATTGTTTCCACAAGCCAATTTTATCAAAATTGGTGGATTTTATGGCTGGATAAATATAAGATTGAGTTATCAGTTAGCACTACTTTCTCAAGTATTTATATCCCTATTTTTAAAAATAACAAAAGTACGACCGGTATATTCGTTGAAATTTTGCACAAAAGTGATTTTCGAAATATCGTATTTGTTTAAAAATCTTATTTCACCACAAAAATGACTTACTCCTCTTACAGTAATTGAAAATTTTATTTATAAGAAAATAGAACCAATGTCTAATCGTCTCGTATAGTTACAAAAAATGACTAAATTATTAGTTTTAAGATATATTTATTACAAATTAACAATTGAAAAACGAAATTAAGGCGCTTGGTTAAAGTTAAAAATTGAATGAGTTCCTCGATGTCCTATTCCTTGATGTCCTATGTATATTTTGCATTTTAGCATCTACAGTCTTATACGAAATTGACCAGTTCGCAATCAAATTACTTTCAATTAAAGCTCACCAATGCTGGTCGAAAGAGCGATGACGAACAGGGGTACGAAATTCAAAGCGGCGCATGGATTGCTGTATATTAGTAAGCAATTGCGCTCTCTATCGGCTTAACGCGGTATTTCCGCTCAAACATTTCTATACGAAATTTATTAGGTCCCTTCTACCTACTTTTACATTGTTCAACATATATTTTTGAACCATCCTTAAAAATAGATTGAAAAATGAAGTGTGCATAACTTATATTGCATTTTTTATTTTAGCAAACAATGAGTCAATGGCATAAAATGTTCCTTATTACATCATCTGTTTTTTTGTCTGTGGTGCGACCTTCCAAACTTTAGGCTCTGCTGAAATTCAACCATATGATCCAGCATATATAAAAGACACTAAAGTAGAAACAAAAACAGATCTATCTTCAAAAAACTTAGACAAGAAGGAAGTTACTATCACAAAATTTTAATGTTTTTCTCTTTTACAAATCATATAGTGTGATTGTTGAAGAATGGTGAATAAGATTGAAGCTGGTAGATAAATGTTATTTTTTTAAAAATATGTTTAGTTTTTATTCTTTAGCCATCCTGTTACCCTGAGAATTTGTAAAAACACTTTACATTAATCTCTAATTACATTGTGTAACCTAGTGAATTGTGTAACATATTTTAACTGCTTGATTTAATCTTCCAACAAGAAGGTTGGACTACGGTTGACCCAGAGATGAGAATCGAGACCAACTCACAATCTGTTCCGTTTTCCAATTTCTTTATGATTCAATATTAAAGCGAAACCTGGTTAAAATGATCCTTTGTGTAACTTGATCATCTTTCTAAGTTTATCTTAATAATCAAGTACATAACTGGCTAAAAGAAATAGGTTTCCTATTTATAAGTTGACTGGAACACCAAATTGTTGTCTCACATGTGGTCAACATACGCAATTTTCACTACTTATGTTATTTTGTATGTTTTATCATAAACATCTAAAGAGTACTTAATGAAAAAATTGACATGCTTCATCCTGTATGTACTTTTAGTGATCACACATATTCTAGTATGTACGCAACACTTAATCATTCCTATGGACCACCACATAATCCAGTGAATAATACACTGAATTTTTTACACTTTTTCTACTCAACTACTATACTCAATATTTTCCCATATATGGGAAATGTTAATGCATTACAGTAATTTTTGTTAAAATTATAGCAAAATAAATCATACTGGTGGGCTGCGCTCCCTGCTCGCTAACGCTCGCCAACCCCCGAAAATTGCTACGCAATCTTATATGGTTTGCTTCGCGAACCAAGCTCGCTTCGCTCGCTACTAACTTAGGTACGTTGCAAATGCACAAAATTCTAAGAATTCAAAACAATCATTCAAATCCATTTAACAACTTTTTTTAATAAAAAAAATTACATCTTTTTAGTAAATACTAAGTCATTAAAATAAATTTGAATTCAAAGAAAGACTCATTGACTGAGACTCATTTTTCAATGAATAACTAATAACAATAATAAAACAAATAAATTCGTGATATAAATCAAAGTTCGTCAAATAAATTCGTGAAAAAAAGCGCTTTCGACAAAATACTAAAATAGAGATCTATCGACAAAGACTACTCACTTCCGCCTAGCTTAATAGTATGAGATTGCCGCAGCTGAATTGTCATTTCAGTTTCCGTTTTTAAAAGCGCTATATGTTGAGCCATCTTAGCTAGATTTGGCATGCGACATATTTGGCAGCAATCATTGGTCGATTTTCTAGCGTTGCCATTCGGGGAATTGTAATGAGACTTTTTTTTGTCGCCGTGTAAGAGAAACATATATATATATAGATGACATAATTTTCCAGATAAATATAATAAACTAATACTACAATACTATTATTTATATCAACTGTCGTAAATTTCATGTCCCTCAGGTTCCTTTGAACTGAAAAATTATAAAAATCCAACATATGTCATGAAACTGCCGAACTTTTTGCAGGAAAATCAAAAAACATCTAGTATTGCCATCTATTGGGAAAATGGTAAACTACACCAAGCATTTAATGAACTGTTTTTGGGTTTCGCTGAATTGAAGCACCCATTTTTCTCTTGCCCGAATTCAAGACCAGAGTTCCTAGTTTAATCATTCGCTTTGTCGAACTGATTTAGTGCGTTACAATACAAGGTGATATGATAGTTTTGCCGACATATCACCATGAAAAGATTATACCGTTTGAGACAACTGAATGAAAATTTTTGCATAATTATTGTGCTTTATGCGCTCAAGAATAATGTTCAAAATGATTGCATACTTCTCACGGATGTACAATGAAAGAATTTTGAAGTTTTTAAACCGCAAAATCCATTTTTTAATTGAAACATAATAATTGCATTTATTCCTAAAATGGAGTTTGAGCGGTGTTTTTGAGCTGTATAAATGAGCGGTTGAGCGGTATAAGAAATTGCGACGCTAGGTCCATGCCAAGCGTCTCCATTTTTCGAAACCACTACCAAGGAAAGAGTTATAAAACTCTCTAAAAAAGGAATTAATTTTAAAAACACAAGGAAAATTACGAACAAAACATTTTATGTCTTAAAAATCTTGGCGATATCCATCCTCACATTTCCAACATACCCCTTGTTTCTTCAAACTTTTTTTTTATTTCATATCATTTATTACAATTTAATTATTTTTAATTCAATAACTTTTAGTTGACTTAAAATTAGTTTTTTTCAAGGGAGGAATTAGTTTTAAAAATTTTAATAATTGATTCAAATTCTTCAAACTTTACTCTGAACACATTTAAAATGTTTTTAACTTTGTAGAAAGCATGACTTGTAAAACAAACCATGTAAGATTGTAGAGAAATCTTCGGATGTTGGGTTGCGCCAGCGAACAGGGGACGGTACCCACAAATTTTAATAATTTTTTATCATAATATTTATTTATTTTTTAAAATTTCTTTATCATCAAGCTAGAACTCCTTTCTCATCAAAAATTTTTTCTCTTTTCGTATTATTAAAAAAAGTTAAAATACAATACAAATGAGATAAAAACTCTAAATTTGAAAAAAAAAAATCCATTAAAAAGAAATTTGTTAGATACTTTAGACAGCAAATGCTCTCATTTTATTCAGTTCAAGGATACTAATTTTAATGATATCAGAATTGTTTTATAAGGAAAAAATTATTAAAAGCTTATCAAATAATAAGATTTTTCAAGGTCTTAACAGACATGAAACGAAATTTCCCTTACTTTATGAACAAAGCACCTTTCACCTGAGAACAAGAGTAATTTTTTTTCTCCCTGACGTTGATTGACAAGCACTTCACTGACAGTGATGGGAATTTATGACAACCAATTTCGATTACTTAATTCACAGTCCTCATCTGTGGTGAATTCTGAACGCGTCTAATATTTTAAATTTCCAGATATAGTTTTAATTTTCTGGGGAAAGGTAAGTGAGAAATTTTTTGCATACCTATTTTTCTGCTTTGGTGTTATTTTAGTAGATTTAGAAAATAAATTTTATTATTTTAACGTGAATTTTTTTTAAAAAAAAATAACGTTTTACAGTATAGTCTTAGGACACTCTGGAATGCAAAAAATACATTCATTTTTGCTTCTTTCTTTCTTTTTTTATATAGGAAAATGTGCGTTTTTTCACCAATAAATAAACGTCAATATTCTCAAAAGAGAGTTTTCGTACTTTTATTTTATAATCCGTACGCTCCCGACGTTCGAAGAACTGGCGCATGCGTATTTTAAGTGCGTAAGAGTCAGTCCTAGTTAAATTGCGTCCTAGGAAAAATATCAAATTTATGTAAATGAAAACAAGAAACTTTGCAAAACCTCATAAGTTAAAACCTCTAACTCAGTGGAATCTCATTGTGGCGGAGATTGTTTGTCCGTCATTAGCCGCCAATATTCGTATAGTGTATTTTTACTTAGCCGTACAAAAATACATTTTGATTATGAAAATACTAAAAATGGATAATGTCCAGGAAACAATTTATAACTCGCTAAAATGAAAATTTGCTTCATTAATCATAATAGGTGATAGAGAATGGCCATTTCTTCATCCAAAATAGAAATCCCTTAAAGGGATGAAATCAGATTGAGAGATCATACAGCCAGAATATAATTTCTGACCGTTAAAAATTGAAACTGGGGAGGCCCCTTAGGGCACTCCCAGCCTCGACAAATTTGAAATTAAAAGTGAATATAATTATTATTAACGGACATCGAAAGCATGGGTAGGAGATCCAAAATTGGCAGTTTATCAAAATATACCATAGCCAAAACAAAGCCAACCAGCATATCAATATTGGGTTTAAAAGAACACCTTGGCGATCAAGAGTCGCCAGCAAATTTATGAGAAATATTACAACCATGCAACCGAAACATTTAGCGGTTGGAAATTTAGAATAAAAAGTTATAAATAGATTTTTGTTTTCGATTTGAGGCGGCAGTGAATTAATAAATCTGCATAGTAATGAAATAAAAAGTATCCGTTACATTGATCTAGAAGAGAAGTAATAAATATTTTATGTTCGTGTTCGTTTAAAAAGATTAAGTTTTTGATTTATTTTAAATGTAATTCTATTAATAAAAAAAAGCTTAAGTAATGAAAGATATTTTAAAAGGAATGAAAATAAATATGTAATGCCAATTGTGGCATCACACTCATCTTCGACCACAACATCAAAATAAACAATTGCAATTGCAATGGACGTGGATAATATGAACGAAACTTTTTCCCATATAAATGCATAATTAAAATAAGTAAAAAATACCTACTCTTTATGAGCCAACTTCAATTAGATAAACATGATTTTTAACTAATACCAATCAATTTTATTTTCTTCAATAAACCAACTGTTGAAAGATCACGATTCTTTTTTAACAGTTTGTAATAACGAATCCGCCATCTGTGATAGCTTTCTTCTTGAACTATCTGCAACACGTTCATATTGTTAATTCAAAGATAAACAGAAACCAAACTTCAACAGCCATGAACAACGTATTTGTATCTTTTTTTAGAACCAAGCAAACAAAACGTAAAAATACGTAGGATCAAAAAAAAGCAAAAAAAAAAAGAAAGAAAAAAAAGAATTGAATTACATTGCCGTAAAGTTTATGTAAAATAATATACTGTATACTCAAATTTCACGAAACTTTCTTCGTTTTTGACGAAACCGTTTCTTTTTATATGATCCGAGATAAAAAAAAAAATTCCCTTAATGTGACGAAATAACTGTCGTCACATCTTCGAGGAAACAAATTTCGGCAAAACAAAAGGAACGTTTCGCGATTCTATTTTTTGAAAAAAATTAAAAAAACTTATAGCGCCTAATGCGCCTTACTTTTCCAATAATAACTTTATCGTGGGTACCGTATAGGTGGATCAATATCGTCTAAATAACACAAGCACAGATAAAACAGAGATATAAATAACCCCCAGCCCAAAGCCGGAATCGAACCCGTGAGCTTGACTCCTTGACCATCATAAAGCCAGTCGGCTTGTTCCGTCTCTTTACCTTCGATTGTGTAGTCTAATTTTGCCATTCTAGTTAACAATCTCCCATAATGCATTACGATAAAGTTTGGACTTGAGGAAACATTGTCGTCATATATTTGAGAGTTCGCGTTTCGTCGCAGACCACGTGATTTCGCGACGAAATAATTCTCAAAATTAACAAAATATAGCTCAAAGATTCCTAAATCGTCCTAAGTGCTAATTTTATTTCTGAGAGTGTATGATCAAATATTCCACAACAATTATTAATTGGTGATCTTGGAATGCAACGCTTTTGTTAGCTTTTTTTTCCTACTACCTAATTTCTCTTATAATAGGAACAGCGCTCCACATCTCATACGTTGTCTCTCCTATTTCCGAAGGAATAATTACGTAATCTTTTGCTTTAACAAAATTGCTTCTAGAAAGAGCCATCGGTGTAAACAGTATTTGCCAAGGTTCGTATCTTTTGAAAAATCATTTAGTTTTAAAAATGTTTCATACCATTGTCATTCAATGCATGGTTGACCTTGTAAAGCTAAACACAGATGGCGCTGGGGGGCTTAAATTCGCCATAAGACTTCCAGGTTACTATTGAAGACTGATTTTCACGCCTAAGCTTGAAAAAGCACACCTTCCAATCTATATATATATTTCTCTTACACGGCGACAAAAAGAAAAGCCTCATTACAACTCCGCGAATGTCAACGCTAGAAAATCGACCAATGATTGCCACTAAAAATGTCGTCACATGCCAAATCTGGCTGAGGTGGCTCAACATATAGCGCTTTTAAAAACGGAAACTGAAATAACCTAAGAGAGCATCAGCTGCGGCAATCTCATACTATTAAGCTAGGCAGTAGTGAATAGTCTATGTCGATAGATCTCTAGTTTAGTATTTTGTCGAAAGCGCTTTTTTCACGAATTTATGTATTACGAATTCATTCGACGATTTTTGATTTATATCACGAATTTATTTGTTGTATTATTGTTATTAGTTATTCATTGAAAAATGAGTCTCAGTCATGCTGTTACACTTTAAGATTTTATACTATAACGCATTTCTAATAGGTTTAACGAATTACATGTCATTTATTTGAATTCAAATTTATTTTAATGACTTAGTATTTATTAAAAAGATGTAATTTTTTTTAAAGAAGTTCTTACATGGATTTGAATGATTGTTTTGAATTCTTAGAATTTTGTGCATTTGTAATGTAACTAAGTTAGTAGCGAGCCCACTAGTATTATTATACTTGTAATGTTTTCAATATAACACGTTCCTTCAATTTAACTTTCAACGAAGCAAACAACTGATAAATTTGAAAAACTCAACAAGCTTGCTATGATGCTACCCGAAAAATAACAAACGACTCTACTTTACCCAAATATAGCCAAATAAGGGATATCACTCAAAATAGGGCAAACTTTTCCCTTTATTTATGCTGTGATATTTATTTTCTTAAATTTGTTTTAGACTCACATACTGTTAGAGTTTATAAATTATAGAAAACTCTTATGGGAGGTAAAATTAAGAGTAAATCCCAATAATAAAATTTTTTAGAATATTAAGCCTGTTCACATATCACTTCCTAAGCGTAACAAACGCGGAGGGATACACCGGAAGCTTTATAAATTTTTTTCCGGTGTTAGGAAGCTTGTTATTGTTTACATTCTGTCAACCATCCATAGAAATTTAGAAGAAACAAAATTCAAGCACTAGCTTTGAGAAAACAAAATAAAATGTAGCTATATTTTCTGTGTGGGGTTTTTAACAATCAACCTGTTTATTCTAGTACACACACCAGTATTGCTTCGAAACGAATACTTGGAATAACAGCGAGGACATAATACTCTTTTTCCCTAACCATCACTACATAAGCAGTTTCTTCGACCACGTAACTTTATATTTTACTTCAATTTTTAAATTATATAGTGGGTAGATTTATAATCAATGTTTATTTAGATTTTAAATTTCTTTTGTTTAGTTTCTGGGATGAATGAAATAATTTTTTAGTCACCAATGAAAACGCTTTGTTTGTAATTTGTCACCAGAAAAGTGGTGTTACGTTTCATAGAGATCAGATTGAGATAGAAATATTTCCGATAGTTGCTAGTTTTAGTACAGCGATATTTAATTTAGATTTAGAGAAAAGCATCTCTTAGCTTAGCATAGTTTTTAAGTTAAAAGATACAAAAAAAAACTACTCACTTTTTTTAAAAAAAAAAAATGAATGAATTTCATAAATGTAATATTTAAAAGAAAAAGTAATAATTAAAATAAAAAGTAATATTTTTAAAAGCCACGTTTTTGTAGTGGAGAATAATAATTAAAAAACCAAAATTTGAATCGCATGAAATACATAACAGTAATGTCATATTAGTGTGTGTATGTGTGCTCATGAGAATATATGTAATTGTAATTGTATCTGAACGTGGATGTGTATGTGGAATATGTTTGTGTATATGCATGTGCATGAGGATGTATATGTAGATGTGATACGTGGCTGTGCATGTGTATGAGTAAGAAAATGTGTATATGTATGTGTATATGTACTGTTATGCATTTCATGCGCACCACGTTTCTCGTTTTTCAAATTTTTGATTTTTAATAATTATTCTCCACTACAAAAACGTGGTTTTTAAAAATATTACTTTTTATTTTGATTTTTTTTGTACTTACTTCAAAAATCTCAATTTTTTCACTCACTGTACACAAAACTTTTCAACTGACATGTGACACTTATTTGAAATAATCGAATCGAAAACAAAAGACAATCACGAAATTATTAATTTTTCTTTCATTTTAATTTTATTTTACTTTGTATGTCTTCTTTCTCTTCATTGTCATCCAATTCTGAACTATGTGCCAAATTTGAAGTCTGTAGCTAGTCGGAAAGTTAGTTTAAAATCGATTACAAAATTCTACCCGAACAGACATACACGAAGGCAAGTTGGTATAAACGTGGTAAAATAGCAATTTTTACACAAGACTCGGTGATATAATATCAAATAAAAATTATGAAATATAAACTAGTTATGTTTAAAATGTAATATTTTTTGCTCCAATGATCAGATGATTGATGACTTCATACATATTAATTAATTATTTATATATTTGAATTAAGTAACGAAATCTGAGTATGATCAATGAGCAAGTATTTCAAAATGATATTATTTTTCATATTGGCTAATTTAAGTTACTAGATTAGAAACAATGTTCAATACAAAAAGATCCATTCGCTCCATTTGCAGCAATAGGAATAAATATAAAGATAAAAATTTAATATTCCACTAAGAATTAATGTCATTCCTATTATCTTTTTCTATTTAAAGCTAATCTGAAGTAATATGAATATTTGGCTTATTTAATTAAAGCTATGAAATTTAATTGCAGCAAGTTATTTAATTTTTAAAAGGTACTGGACGTTAAGAAAAAAATAAATCCTAAAAATTAAAAATAATAGGAAAAAAATTCCTTTTTTATTTAATATATCAATTGATATTTATTTCATTAATACGCTCTAAGTAGTCTTGCAATCGGTGCTTTTTTTAAAGAAATCATATAAGTTTTCATCTATAAGCATCTATGTGGGGTAAACTAACCAGTGAAGGAACACTTAAGCTTCGCTTGCCTTTTAAAAAATCACATTAATTTCAAAATTCGTAATTTTAGTTAAATGACAGTGTCAACATATTTGTTACTAATTGCAAATTATGTAAAAAATTTTAGAGAACTTGCATAATATTGTTTTAAAGTTTTGGAGATTCAAATAACAAGTAGTAGAGAAGACCAAGTGAAGGAACAGCTCTTACCAGTGAATGAACACCCAGTAAAGGAACACTTAATTTTGGTTATTTTTAATGCTCTTTATGAATTTATAAGCCATACAAATATTTAAAAACAAGCCTATTCTTTAAATTATATCATATAAATGCTTGGACAATGCTAACTTTTTTTTGTAATCATGAATTGAAAATTAAAGTGTCAACATATTAACACATACTGTTCATTCACTTGGAAATCTATGCCCAGTAAATGAACATGCCTGTTCCCTCACTGCTTGAAAGTTGTTTTTCGTATTTTTAACATACTTTTGATGCGGAACATCACTAAAGATACAAGAAAATTAAAGTTTATCTTTTATTTTCATTAACTTAGAAAAAAACCAGTAAAGGAACACTTGTTCCTTCACTGGTTTTTCATCGTTTGGTGATCCTGTGAATAAACACCCCCTTGTCTCAGTGCTTTATTAGCTCAGTGCTTATGATACTTAAAAAAAATGAGACGCAACTTCAATAACTATATTTTGAATTCTCCTTTTCACAGTGAGAAAAATAAAACTATTACATGCAATTAATTCCACTTCAAACATATAAATACAAACACTCACCTTATAATTTTTTCAAAGAAACAAGGTGTTGCAGAGATAATAACAAATTCAAAAATTTTTCCAGAGAAGTCCATTTGACCAGGTAATCCAAAACATTGCTAGATGAGTTCCTATTGTTTGGCAGTAAGCTATTGTTACCAATCAATTTAAAGAAAAACTTTCAAATTCTTATTTTCAATCAATATATATGAAATGTTCCTTCACTGGTTGGTTTACCCCATTCATTAAAAATTAATTTCTAACTAAACAGATATAAATGTGTCACTCATGAACAATTATTTATTTAAAACTAGCTGAATATTTGTTCTTTGTACGGGGGGAATAAAATAAATTATCAATAAATCAGTTCTAAGCTGCACGAAACAGTACTGAACAAAAACGAAATCGTACACAAAGCTCTGAACGACATATAAATTGAAGCACAATAAAGTTAAAATGATTTTAATGATCTATTTATTTATTTTTATTTTTTGCACTCCCCAATCACTTTTCACTAGTAAATAAAGCTTAACACGTTTTTTGTGGATCATCCCATCGGAATGAGGATTAACAGTATCACTTTGTATGATGCTATTGCTAGCTGCCAACTGATGATATTCAAAGTTTACCACCATCAAATAATTTCCTCCAGCACTTATCTTTCTCAAGAGGAAATAAGTACATATTTCAACAGTATCTGTATTAAATTTGTCAGAATAGGTGCAGTTTTAATATTTGTGGAATAGGCCGGCTAGATGGAGGAGTGGTTAGCATGCCTGACCACAAAGCTAATGGCTGCGGGTTCGAATTCTACTCAGGGCATGGAATTTTCCCTGTTGTGCGATCTGTGAATGTGGCCTACCCTGTGAACGGGTATCTATGGCAGTGTGGCGTGGGTAATGTTATACCGTAATTTTTATTGTGGTATTTACTTAATTAGGAATTCAGTGATTTCATAATAGTTACGAGGGTTGCTATTTATATTTCTGGCCTAATAATGAAAAAACAAACATGTAGGATCGAAATTGGTTTTATTGTTTTTCAAAATATTCTCCATGATGATCAATACACTTTTGCATGCGTTTGAACCAATTTTCAAAGCACTTTTTCCAGTCCGATTGAGGTAACTCCAAAACATGCGTTTTGAATGCATCAACCGCTTCTTCGGGGGTCGAAAATCGTTGTCCACGTAATTTATTTTTGATGTGTGGGAATAAGAAGAAGTCATTGGGTGCCAAATCAGGGCTGTACGGCGGATGACCCATCAGTTCGATCTTTCGCTCCGTCAGAAATGCCTTTGTTTGAGTCGATGTGTGAGAGCTCGCATTGTCATGATGAAGAATGATTCGCCTGTTCTTCTGCTTTTTTCGAATTTCTCCGATGACTTCTGGCAAACAAATGGTCGTGTACCATTCAGAATTGACCGTCCTGCGTTGCTCTAACGCCACTGTTGCCACATGACCGTTAATGCCGAAGAAACAGGCAATCATTTGTTTCGATGTGCTTCTTCCTCGAACAACTTTTGTTGGTTTTGCCTCGTCTTGGAAGACCCATACAGTTGATTGCTGTTTTGTTTCCGGCTCATATGCATAGATCCATGATTCGTCACCTGTGTAGATGTTATACACAGCCTTTGATGTACCTTGAACGTATTTTTCCAACATTTCCTTGCACCAATCGACACGAGCCTTTTTTTGAGCGTTTGTCAGATTATGCGGGATCCAACGCGAACAAATTTTTTTTACGCTCAAATGTTCATGCAATATTTTATTGATGCTAGTCATACTAATGTCCAAAGACGCCTCTATCTCACGGTATGTCACATGACGATCTTGCTTTATCAGTTCACGCACAGCATCGATCTTTTCTGGCACAACAACGGATTTTGGACGACCTGCACGGGATTCGTCCTGGATCGAACATCGACCACGATTAAATTCGTTATACCAATTTTTTACAGTGCTGTAGGATGGCGCTTTATCGCTGAATAAAGAATTAAGTTCATCGAAGCACTCTTGTCTTGACAATCCACGTCGAAAGTTATGAAAAATAATGGCACGAAAATGTTCACGATTCAATTCCATTTTTTGAAAGAGAAGAACTTTTCAATTTACTGTCAACAACACAAATGAAGCTATAATGGTAAATCGTGTGCTGAATTTATGTTTAAAAATATCAAACTTTCGATTAAAATCATCTGCTGTCGCCTAGCAACACTTACTGTTGCCAAGGCCAGAAATATAAATAGCTACCCTCGTATTTTGCTGTAAAAATTGGTGAGTAAAAGATGTTTCTTTCTTAAAAAGTTCCTGTAAAAATGGATTTTACGGTAAAAGAGAACCGGTACCCTGAGTACCGGTGCTTTGTACAGTACCTTGATCCAGAATTTTTTACAGTGTTTTTTTATTATTCATGTAATTTTGTTTTCATAAAAGCTTGTGTTTTTTTATAAATTTTTTATTTTCTGTTTCAGATTGGGAAAGATATCCTCTGTAGATTAGTCTGGGATAGCTTAGATTTTTTTAAGGAGTCATGCTGTTAAAACAAGTGTTGGTTCTGTTTCTTCTGCTAAATACAATTTTGTATACTGTTGAGATAAATACATTGTCCAAGTGTTTAATCCTCATCGTACTAAAACTTTTGGCAACCATGACATAACGCATGAGTTTTCGTCTTAACTAAAAAAAACATTTACAGTTAGTTACTTCGATAATATGTTTTAATGATCTTCAGTAATTGAAATTGAAAATTAGTATCTACAATGTTTAAGATGCCTTGAAAATTTAAATTTTGAGGGCATCTTAAAAAATGACCTAAAAATCTCATCATCATGTGTCATTTAAAACATTGTCATATATAATTTGTTTTTGTACATCTTTTTATGAAGAAAATATTCAGTATTTTTGTTCTTATATACTAATTATTTGTTTAATACTTATTTGTATACATGATTTATGATTTGTATATACCAAGAGAAAGTTCTTAAAAATTAGAAATAAAAGTTGCTGCTATAAACAATTGTAGACTGCATTGAATTTCTGTCCTATTATTCAATAATAAATTAATATTGTAAACTTGCTTGGTTGTAAATTTAATTTATCATTTTGTTCAACTTTATTTGCTTTACAAAGAATGTAGCTATCATGATTTAATTTTTATCTATGTAAAATATCCAACTCTTTGCAAATATTACCGGCATTTTTCAATGCATCAGGCTAATTGAAAAATCTCATCTGAATAATACACTTTAAACAAATTATAATTAGCCTTTATATGCATTTATGTCAATAAGGAAATGTTTGAAGAATTATTAAATTAGACTGAATTAACATAAGAAAAATATGCAAAAAATGATTGCAAAAAATGTTTAATAAGGCTGTTTATCATGAGCATTCTCGAATTAGGCTAATTCCAAATTTCATTTATATATTTCAATTTAGCCTAAAGTTATTAACTTTTTAAAGTGTAAGGCTGATAGGCAAATAGCGAGATCCTCAATTTAGCTACTAAAAGGCAATGCAAAATGACAGTGGCTGTTTGCAAAGTTCCAGATAATTTAAATAACCAATGATATTTTTACCATACATCGTTAATTAATTTCTCATATGAATGAATTGTCAGTATTATATTTTTGATTAATAATAAACGAATACTATAAATCCCAATTGTAGTTTTATTTTAATTTACTGGCCATTAATTACATTTCATCATTATTTGTTTCTATTTAAATTCATCTTTATCAGTCTTTTTCCAAGATATATAAATTTACGTTACAATATTAATTTGCTTTAATTTAAATGCTTCATTATCTGTCTTTTCATATAATGTATGAGTACATTCACATTACAATATCAATTTGATTTTATTTGAATACTTCTTTATCACTCTTTTTACATGACATATGAATAAATTTACATTGCAATATTCACTTGTTTTTATTTAAGTGCACCTTTATCTGTCTTTTTGTATGACATATGCATTTATATTACAAATAAGACAATTATAATTTATTTATCGTTGAACAATTTATTTTCGTTGTATAATTTCTTGCTGCATAATTTATTTATCATTGAATGATGGCTTACTCAAATTAAATGATTGTAGACGAGCTTTGGTTTATAGTAAAACACTATAACAGATTTTTCTGGGAAATATTAATATTATAATTTAATTCATTTAAAAAATTTATTAAATATTTAAGACGCTCTTACACTTTTTATGGAAGGATTTATAATTTTAGTTCGAAAATTCCCTTCAATAATACGCAAATGTTTAAAATCCATTTCATAATAAATTCAAATTCATTTAACATTAAAAATATTGTTACTTTACACGAGAATGTAAATAAAATTATTTTAATTTTACTCATAGTTTTTATAAACACATATCATAAAATTGTGTTTTGCGAAGAATTATAAAACTGCCTATAAATATTAATAATATATAAATGCATGCATTGTTAAACATGTCTTTTGAAAAAACAACGCATTTGAAAATATATTTTATAAAGGATTAACTAAAACTTTTTAAAATATAGAAATATTTTTATACTGAAACTGATTATTTATTACTTTCAGACGAAACAGTTAACAATTTTTTTTAATTTTTCTCACAACTGAGAACAGTACGAGGATCAGGTGTCTTAGGTTCGAATCGCAGTGAAGGCTGGTCTATGATAGATGGATCATGGATCAGAATCCGCTTGACGCCGGACTAGCCATGAAAGATTTTCGTGGTTTTTCTCTCCATGCAACAAAAATAATGGTTAGTTCCATCACAAAGGCTAGTTCGCTGCAATGCTTGATCTAGTAGTTCCCTTATCTTCTGGGTTTAGTTCAAATTAGTAGAGTTGGTTATTGACAGCCGTAAGCTCAGAATCGGGTCAGCTGCTTAACACCGGTTATAAAATTAAATCCCTTAACATTCTTGTATACACCTTCATAATTTCACATTATAAGTATTACAGTTTTTAACCAATTGGAACGTCCTAAACCTACACAGGGGAACATCGGCAGAGGCGACGTTTAATATTTATTAAAATAAAGAGATCTTTCAATTAGTATTATCGATCGGAGATTAAAAATTTAGTATGCCAATTATTCTAAGTAGATAAAACCTCGTTGTTTCACGTGATATCGTTTTTAATTTAACCATTACAAAATATTCCATATAGATAAAATCCGTGTTTTGTTAGTTCCAAATTCCATGCCGTAGTTTTTTAAATAAATATTAAAATATAATTTGTCTTTTTTCTACATTGATAAATTGATCACTGTCCATTTAAATTTGTAGATGAAAGATGTTCGTGTTGAAGCATCCAATGACATAGTTAGTTAATCGAATGTGGAGAATTCTTTAGCAATACGGAGAAAGTAAGCGAATAGTAATTTCTCGATCACAAACGTGCATGACCTTGTTAAATTTAAACAAGTGCTTTGGCACGTGTGATTTTTAATCAGTTTTACGTGCATTTAAGTGGCAATAAAATTATTTATTGAACTCATGTAACGAAAGGATGAAACTGCATTTTACGTTAGTTCAAACAGAAAAACAATTGTTGGCAAGTATATCTTAAATTTACTTTAGGCGTTTGAAATGTAATGTTGTTTCAAATTGTTTATAAGATTTTTATCAAGTATATATACAGGGCGAGTGAAAAAAATTGTAATCTATTTTAATTAAAGTGAAACTGTTATAATTGATCCTGATGTTGAAAACAAATGCTTTGCATACATTTAATTTATATATTCAATTTCTAAGTAAAAATCGTTTAGATGCCAACTTAAAAAAAATTAATTAAACTTTGGAAAATATTAACAATTTGAAACTTTTCTTCAAAGAAAATTTTTTTTTCTCTTGTCAAAATTATGATAGACTATCGAGATTTTTTCCATAAGTGCAATAATATTTTTATAGTATTTACGATAAAAATGATAAAATATTTCGTTGTAATAATGCATACAATATTTACAATTTATATTCATAATTTAACACACGAAAACACTCATTAGATTTTAAAATGATGTTCATATAGATTATTTAAAGTTTAAGAAACAGTCTATAATTGCAGTAAATAATTGAGTAATAACATTTTAACAAATAAAAATCTCAAAACCTTTTCATTTCAAATTAATAAAAACGTTATTGAATCAATTTCAATTAAAACTTTATGGACACTCTTAATTTTTGCGATATGAATTGTTAATAAATTTATACTTTTGTGCATTATTTAATTCCAATTTTGGTTCGCATTTTGCATAATTTTAACTTGAACTAATTTTAACTTTAATTATAATTTTAATAATATCTACTTATACTAATAATATAGGAACCATAAAAAATTGAATACAGTTGGCTTTGTTATAAATTGTTCAAAAAATAATAATAATAGGATTTTCCAACATTTAAGGGGGGATGGAGACTCGCCAAAAGTTCTAACTATACCCTGGAAGGAGTTAAATATACCTGTTTATTACATGATTCAATTAAATATTTTCATGTTTCAAATTTGCCTGAAATTTTTATGTACAATATGTTATTTAAAGTATTAAAACTAACCAAGCAGACACAGCAGATTCTATTTTTATTGCAAGCATTTTAGAATTCATAATTTAATTTCAATTCATTGTTCAGTTAAACAATTGACCATAGTTCAATTTTTTCCGGCAAAAAAATTGCCTTTGATTATTTTTAATTGAAATTTACAATACGTTTTCTTAATAAAGATTTACATATTCAAGGAAACCGACTTTTCTAATGTAGACCGATTTTTTAATGCAATTTAGAAGGATTTTAAAATTTTAAATTGAAACTAAGATTACATTTACGGTGTGAAGTATCTAACCGTATTTAGTTGAAACATATATACTTTTTCCGACAGTTTCTTCAATATTCATTATCTCCGATTACTCAACTATGACTCATAATGACACAAGCTTCAACTTATCTACAAAAATAGAACTGGATTTCAGAGTAAGCCAGCTGAGTAACAAAGATATTAAGAGGTCTCCGTTGCAGTTCGTAAAAATTAAACCACACAGTGAGAATAAAGGTATTTCTTTATTTGAACATTTCTTTTATTTTTAATACTCCTCCTTAATATGATTTTTTTCATCTATTTTACGCAATATTTCAATACAAACAAGAGCAATGGAGTAAAAAATAAAATAAAAGTGATGATTTTAGAAACCTAGGCACGTGTCGGTGACATACAAAACTGAATTCAGCACAGCGGCTAAGAATTTTAAGGGGATACAGGTCACACGGTATGAAGGAATAATTGCACATCGTAAGAATTGATAGTAATAATTGATAGTTAAGTCCGAAAATGTCATTGTACATTGATAGGGATGTTCACATATTATATTAGAATTTTATCAGACATTATAAAACAATATTTTATCGTTAATTTTACCAAAATCACTACTAAATCAATTCGGTTAAATTACCGAGCATAGAGCCAGAAGCACAGTAAATTTTACCATATTCTGGTAGTTTTGACCATACCTTTTTTCTCCGTGCAAGCATCCCTTTCAAATGAGCAAATATTAATTTTTGATCTATTTGTAAGATCAGGGGCTAAAACTAAACTTTGCATCTAGGTTTTCAATTTTGAGATCCTAGCACAGATATTTCTAAAATTATAGGAGTGACAGGCAAGCACAAACATTATCTCTTATTATCATAGACAAATAAAAATTCGTCATTTCAATAAATCTGTATTATAAATGCAGTTAAAAAATATATTATATGTCTGGAACACTCAGAACAATAATAAAGTAATGGATTCGTGACATTGCTATTCCACTGCGAATTTTTGTGACATGACTTAGACTTAATAAAACCTGTGTAATCAGTAGACACTCGGATTACTAGTATCAAGGTTTTGTTGATGTATATGCCTATAAACGTCATTCTTCAAACGTCTAAACATGGTTTTTCGAAGCTCTTTCGCCAAGGGCAATAAAAAAGCCACAGTTTAAGTAACTGTACTCTCGAGAAAAAATAAACACATATTTCTAAACTTTCTGCTTGAAAGTTGCCAGTATAGGTGCAGTGTTAATAATTATCAAATACATCAATATAATGCTTTGTATATTTGTTACCAGAACTGTAAAAATTTCCGGATTAAACTACAGTCTAAAGTACCGGCAATTTGGGTACACCATCCGTAAAATCCATTTTCACCGTAAAATATTATACCGTAATTTTTGCAGTAATATTTGTATAATGAAAGTGATCCAGTGATTTTACGATAATTGTTACTAAAAATCAGTACTGGTATTTTATCGTATAATCTATAGATACCGTAAAATCCCTTTTTAGAGTAAAATTCCTTTATACCCCTTTATACCCCAATTTTTACAGTAATGTTTATTTAATTAAAGTGATTCAGTGATTTTACGGTAAATATTAAAGTTAAAATAGATGTATAAAGTTTTTTTTCCTTAACAAATGCAGGTAAAAATTTATTTTACGATAAAAAATACCAGCACTCGGAGTGACCTAATCAAAAATAAAAAATATTAGTAATAAACATAAAAACTCGCTGGGAATTTCGGGTTTTATTTTCTCCAAGCAAACAATAAACCAAATTGCGCCAGGTATAAAAAAATAATCGAGGGCCTAAAACATAACAAGTGAACTAAATATTGTAAAAAAATTTGTTTTTAGATATCAGTTTTTCTGGAAACTAGAGAAAAATAACTTAACGATTCTAAAGCATGAGCTCATAAGATGAAATTCAAGCTAATAAAAAAAAACTGACCTTTTCTGAACTCTTATATTTCACTGGCTTCCCTCTTGTGCCATCTTCTTTAATAAAATGCCAATATTTTTTTTCAATACTAATTGTTTTCTATTTTTAACAATTTCATTTTAAAAACTACTTGCAATCTCCTCCTTGTTATAGGAAAATGTCGTGCCATACCAAGTCGTCATATAATAGTGATTTTAGGATTTTTCAGTTTTATCATCATTAACTGCCAAAGAATAAACTTAAGTATGGCTTTAGTTGCTATGGCAAATCAAACAGCAGCATCTATTTTTCCTACAATAAACAGTTCAGCATATATGAATTTCAGTCGAAGATATGATTTCACGGAAGATAATTTTCAGGTAAAAAATTCTTTCCTCCTTGCTTCTTTAAATTGTCTTCATGGTGTGTATATATATATAAATATATATACATTTTAGTTACTTATAAAAGTTGAAAGAGGC